ACAATCTCGTTCTCCTAGTTGGTGACTTCAGTCTTCACACCATAGAAACCTAAGCTTATCTCGATGAAAAATTCGAAATGTAACTGCAGGAGCTAATCTTCGGAGCAGCAATTTACAACCACGCTACCTCCCCCATAGAATTCAGTACGGGGAACAAATCAGGTATGCTTGATCTCGTGTTCACCAAAGATTGACTTCTCGTTTGAACGGCATCGATAGATTTTCCTTGGGTACACAGCGATCATGCTGGTCCAAAGGAATGCAAATTTTGTTCCAGTTCAAAGACATGGCAGCAAACGCACTTGAAAGGTGGCACAAGGGGCGTAAGAAACTCCACTCAGAGCTACGCATAAGGGCTTTCAACAACGGACCTTAAATGACCGCGCGAGAGAGAGAGGTCACTGGGACGTGTAAGTGACTCCAGTAAGTCACTTTTGCGCCGGACCACTGCGGAGCACACGCAAGTGTTGCAGAGGTAGGGACTTTCCTAATACTTAATGAAACCAGAACTGCATCCTGTGATCATTCTACCAACCACCATGAAGCGGCTCACGTTTCAATGTCGACAGTTCACCAAAAATAATGGTTCGCTGCCAGGCTACCACCTGGTGCTCGTGCCCTCAGATACACTTCAAACACTCGAAACACTCCTGTATGTACTCCAATGCTAAGAGCCACTACTATAAATTATCCGAGCTTCATTCTCGTCAAGCCCTGATATCTACAGACCTTATAATAATAATAACTGAGACCTTGCTTAACGGTGAAATCACGGAGGAGGGCATCGCTCTATCAGTCGTGTCCGTCCCACGTAAGGATTAATCTAGTAGGGGAGGTAGTGTAATTGTGTACCATTGCAGGGATCTACTTCGTTGTTGACAACCCAGAGATTCGAGTTGTGAACTCACTTTAGTGCCGCGTGCAAGTAGGACATAACGCCAAATATTTACTTGCCCTCATATATCGTCGTCTCATGTCCACTCTGGAAAAAGACAACCGTCTGCCTTCTGCACTGGAATCTGTTCTGATTCAGCCCAACACTTAAGTTCTCCTTGTGGGAGAGTTCCACTTGCACGCTGATACGTATTAGTCACAGTAAGTAAGTGTACGAGATCTTATGCTCTATAGGGGTCAGAACCCACGGTATGGAAAATAAATCTGGACAGGATACTGTGTAATTAATAACTGACAGAAATCCAGCACGCATTCAGTGGAACGCGATAAGCTTGGTGCCTGCGTGCATGCGTACGTGAGTTTATGTGTGTCGTTCATCCAACTGAGTGGGTTAGGGTCTGACCTTCAGTGCACATGTGACATCCCTCACCCCCACAGATGTCATCAGACTCCAGGCTCAAAAAGTTCCACTGGTTTAGAAATTCTGAGCAATCGCCTCGGTAACGTTTCACTAGCCTATGCGTACGGTTCACTGCCAGTGCCTGGTTCTTTGTCTGCGCACAATCCGGTCTACGTCTCGTTTGGTGTATCTGAGCCCCGTGCACGAACGCGATCTGAGTGCTGACGAATTAGCCGACCGTCTGGAAGTTGAACGTCATTTTGGCTTCCCGAGGAATGAATTACGGTGGCAGGTTGCCAGTGGGTTTCTTGTGGCAATTTAGTGTAGACCAAATCATTTTCCTCAAAAGTCGCATCCTTCCTCATCTTATACGAAGACTCTGGCCTCTATCTCCACCCGTGGAGTAGGAAACAGTAGATTCATTCTTGTCTTGAGGGTTCTGCCAAACATCAGCTCTGCAGTACACTTACCCGTACCCTCAGTGGGTGTGGAACGACAGGCAGATAGGAAACGATTCAGCTTTGTTTGTACGCTCCCCAAACGCCGGTTCAACAGTCTTCGTTTCACCGTCTGTACCGACCGCTCTGCCAACCCCTTTGACGCTGGATGGTAAGGCGCCGATTTTATATGCTGGATCCCGTTGCTAGTTACGAATGGGATGAACGCCGTGCTAACAAAAGGGCCCCGTTATCTGTGCATAAATCTCTGGAATACCGAATGTGGCGAGTGATGATCGCGTCTTAACAATGCTGGTTTCGGACGTGGCTTACGTAACGGCATACCTTTCAACCCACTTGGATTGGGCTTCGATGAGTAACAGAAACATGGTTCCATTAACCGCGCCGCAGCAGTCGGCGTGGATCCGTTGCCACGGCTCGTCGGGCCAGCTCCACGGATGTACTGGACCGGGGGTTTATTGCGTTGGCGTGCGTGGCATGTATCACAGTTTTTGTGAATACACGTGACTGAGATCTTGTTTGATGAATTCTTCACCACCTGCCAGTGTAGCATACAAGTTTTCAATGCGAGGTAATGAATATCTGACTGTCATAGAAGATTGGTTGGCAATTATTTTGTAGTCGCCGCAAATTCGCACGGAGTCATCCGGTTTGGCCACTGGTACGATTGGCGTTCTTCAATTGGAAAATTGCAAAGGTATTATAATTCCCTGAGTTTATAAGCGGTTTACTTCTTTGTCAACGTTAGACCTTACAGCATACTGTATTGTTCGTGCTTTGATTAGTTTGGACCGGGCACTTTCCTTCAATCTTATTGTAGCTTGAAAGCTTTCAGTTTCCCCAACTTATCGAAAAAAACCTCTGCGTTTTGGTTCAGAATTTCCTCCGGTCCAACGATTTCAGGGACTGTTTTCAGAACATCCAACGTATTAGGGGATGCGGATATCCTGGTCCTCACGAGTAGATTCGATCGATCTTCCGATATAATATAGACAGTAAGTTGGTATCTCAGTGACATATTGTGTCTGAATAAGGCATTTACCGAGAACACGAATCGGTTCGCCTGTGTACGTCCGAAGGTTAGAAATGCATGATGACGGGGTAGGTGATTCACAGCGTTCGCCTTAATTATTGTCACCGATGCTCCCGTATCTATCTCCATCAATACCTTCAGTTCTTTGATTGGAGCTCCACAGTGTATGGCTTGGTACGTAGATTGGACACAGTATTCAGCCATACCAAATGCGATTCGCGCTGGTCCTCTTCATCCCGATCAACTGCTCTGGTTGCATTTGCTGGTACTTTATGCGGTTTCGGATGCAGCTTGATTGACCTGCATAATCGCGTCCAGTGACCAACCTTCCCACAACTTCGGCATGGTGTTTTCTGATGTCGACATTCAAATGCGCAACCGTGTTGATCATCGCATCGGTGGCATATAAATGGTTTTACGTCCACGGACCTCCTTGTTGGTTGTGGCGTCGTTTTCACCAACTGTAAGCTCACAGATGGAGCCGGCGGAGTAAATACGGACAGTTGTTGCCGTAGATTCTCCCTTTGCCGAGCTAATGAACAAGCCGTCTCCCAATTAATCGTACTGTCATCCTGTGAGAGTTTTTCCCGGATATTATGATTTGCAATGCCAGCTATCAGGCTTTGAAGTAACAGTTTTTCTTTAACTATTGCCGGATCAAGTTCCTTGTACCTGCAGTATGGTGTATACGAGCAGTGAACACATTTACACTTTCCTCCGGGTTCTGACAGAGTCTGGAAAAATAGTACCCGGTTGTTAACACGCTTTGTCGAACACTGAACGTATCCAAGGCACTGGTTGCGACTACATAGGCGTCGTCAATTCGGAGCGCATCGAAGTATCGTTGGTCTTCATCACCCAGGAACTGTCACAGTAGTTTGATCTTGTGTTTCTCTGTAAGTGAGAATAACGGATTCAAGATTGGAAGTGATTCTAGGTAGTCAGAGAAGGTTTTCCGCCATCTATTCCAACTGGCCATATATGGTTTTCCTGTTGCACATACCCAGAGCTGTATGAGGGCATTCACAATGGACATGGTAATAACCGTCGCCAAATGATACGTATTAGTCACAGTAAGTAAATGTATGAGATCTTATGCTCTATAGGGATAAGAACCCACGGTATCGAGAATAAATCTGAACAGAACACTGTGTAATTAATAACTGACAGAAATCCGGCATGCATTCAGTGTAACATGAGAAGCTTGGTGTGTGTGTGCGCTTATATGTGTTGTTCATCCAATTGAGTGGGTTATGGTCTGACCTTCAGTGCACATCTGACAATAACGCGTAGAACTGTTGTCATCCATTTCTAGGTTTTAAAGGAAGAGGGCCATCCATCTCACTCTAACCTCCGAAGAGGACTGGATTGTGAGACAAAGTTAGCCTGAACCCTAACTATTCACCTGTCTGGTACAAGTGGCTCTGAAGACCCTTGCAAAGTGCCACCCAGTGTAGGTCAATGGGTCACGGTTACGCAAACCATTACACCACTCTAATGTACAGTCTCTTGGGCCGCATCCTTTGTTGCTCAGTTGTGTGCGTTGTCCGGAGAACAAAACGTGATTAAGATGTTCGGGACATGACAGTCCCTAGATAACGCATTCGAAAACGGTATCCATGGTGCCTGAATAAATTTCTGAAACACATACACATAACATTTCGGACAACAGCCGCTTTCCTTACATTTATTTTCTCTTGGCACAAATAACTATCATGTGATTGTAAAGAATCCTGATTCAGTGGCAGGTAAAAATAGCAGAACGATTCTGATTACTCTGTGTAACATAATTTGCAATTGCATCCAGGTTTATCTCTGAAAATGTATTGATGAAATGTCATGGAAAAGTTGTACCATTATTTGATCTGTTCCTTATAGAGAACAGCTTCTCGCATAGTCGAGGAATATACAATTTATTTATTTACTTAATTTCGACAGCGTATCGTCCAAGCAGTGTTTCAAGAATGTAAAACCACTGCTCCTCACCATGAATTGTTTTTTCGTGATCGTTAAAAGATTTAGTCTCAAGGCTAGACGCATTCGGATCGACATAAAACTCCGGGAACCACATTAGACAACGAATTGATGCTTTTAAATTTATGTCTAATTACACATACCCACCACCTTCTACTTGGGAACCGTGATTTGTGTACTCCCAGCAAAGATGTTCAACTCTTGAGAAGCCCACTTCTTCTACTCCCTTTACCTTTTACAGGGTTGCGCTGACGCGTCCGTCAGAAATGCACTGTACACCGGAATAGGGGCTATTTTTGTTCCCTTCTTTACCACGCTTGTCTTTATTGTCGCACTCACTCTTACTGTTCTGTTAATAAAAAAATTCAAAACGTAATTCATACTGTGTCCGGCATTCGAAATTTTGCTCTTATTTTTGCCATTATAAGAGACTTGAAACTGATAACCTTCTAACAAATTGGCATTTCAGTTAATTCTCACTTGTATGGAAATGGTAACTTGACGAATTACATGTCTGTTGAATTTTTGCAATTAAATTGATTAGTATGTATGCTCACGTTTCCTTGCCGCATGTGTTCCTTGGTCTCCGAGTGGCAGATGAGCGTAGTTATCCACTTGTGGCTATGTATACATCATCAGCATTCGCCCAATTAGTATATCGTTAGTTTAACCATCTCGTTAACACAGCTCATCTTTGTTTAGTCAGCGAAGCGACCAAGTTGAAGCATTCACTATGGGGCCATCGTCTAGTAAGTGACATCGGCTAGTTACACCACTCGCATTTCGCGCGCATTAGTGAGTGAACCACACTGCAGAACACGGAGCAGATAGTACACGTTTTAATGTTATATATATATATATATATATATATATATATATATATATATATATATATATATATATATATATATATATATATATATATATATATATATATATATATATATATATATATAGACTGCACACTTTTGCTGAGACCCCTGAGGTGGCTCGGTCATGTGAGCCGTATGGATTCGACGCGGATACCAAAACAACTATTATATGGTCAGCTGAGTACTGGGAAGCGGTACATGAGGAAACCAAAGTTACGTTATCAGGACATGATCAAAGTGAGCCTCTCACCTTCTAATCTTGATTGCAGATGATAGGAATCGAAGGCGGTTTATCGGCGTGCATGGCGCGATCTAATCACGAAGGCAGTTGCCGAAGTGAGGGAGAATGACCTCATACATGCAGAGAAGAAGCGGCAAGTGCGGAATCGGCAAGCAACGATGCGTTATACTCCATCGACATCAAGCGCGTTGTGCTGTAGCACATGTGGTCGCGAGTGCCTGAGTCAGGCAGGCTTAGGGAGCCATGAGCGAGGCCACTCGGGACCATTACCGAAGCGACGACCGGTCCTGCAGAGAACGTAGGCAAAACCGGCGCAGGTTTTGTAGCGTGCTTGTGTTTGCCTGTGAAGGAGTGTGGGCCAGCTCCGTTGATGAAACGTGGCTCCCATCCACATGCCTCCCGGTCTTATTCCTTCGGGTTTACACTAGATATGGGGTGTGTGGATGGAAGTGTGGGTGGTGCAGCGCAAGCCACCCACAGTCCCCTGTAGCCGCAGGCCACGTTTCATCGACGGAGTCGGCCCACACTCCTTCACAGGCAAACACAAGCACGCTCTATTTGGAGAAGCAAGCACACACAAGGCGGTGGCTGGACCGTAGTTTGCTCCACACTGAGTGCATGGAACTGCTCTTCGAGTCTAGCATGGCCACAAGGACCGTGCACCCCGCCTCCTCTAGAAACGACCAACTGTCTCCTGGAGCCAGTATGAACGAGGTAGTGGGTAATAGACAGGTAGGCGCCTTGTCAACATGCACATCAAGCGCAGCCACACCGGGGATATCAAGCAACAGCTATTCACTTGAAACGACGAAATGAAATGAAATAAATCCAATAATGCATACAAATACGATGGCGTAACTCTTCGCTAAATTACCAAATGAAATAAGTTGGTTAACAACGAATCCACAATAAGTAAGAAATGTCTACAAATTACTTAAAAATGCTACAAACGCTACAAAGTTACCGTAGATAAGCGCAATTAGCGTAAGCAACGTGGCCAGTTAATAGAAGATTATTCAGGTAGGCAGAACAAACCAAATAAAGTGGAATGAAATTTATCCAGCTTAAAAATACCTAGTTTAAGTGTAAGTTGCTTTAGCCCAACTGCGGTGAAGAGACATCGAGAATGCAACATCAGCCTCAGCATGGGATATATATATATATATATATATATATATATATATATCCGTGTCGGGGCTGTACGCTTTCGGGCGCGTCCCCAGGTTGCGGATCAGGGAATACCTTCCAGGTGGAGGTAACTGCGAATAAGTCGCGTCTGCTATGAGGCGAGACGAGTAAGCAGTCGCGAACAATCAGCGGCAACGTCTCAGTGCATGCGGAGTTCTGGGCTGCTCACCTGGTTCTCCATCAAATACCACATAAGCTCGTACGGGGCTGTGTCTAAGCAAATGTGACCGGCTATTGGGCCACTGACCACTCAATACCGTAACTAGAGTTGAGTACTTAACGGCGGGTGGATGAACAACCTTGCTGGCCACCGGCTTTTCTGTGAACTGAAACCGAACACAAAGAATTAAATGAGCCACATGGCTGTCAACGGTCTTAGTGAACCACCCCGTTGCCTTGGGTGTCAGGTCTTTATGACCAAAGGCTCGGGGTGGGGTCCCTTAAGTCAACCCCCTTCCTTGGCCTGGGCAGACGGGAAGCTCAGTGCCGCGGCAACACATGGATCATCGTATCCCTCCTCCCGACTCTTCCTCCTTTTTGTTACCGTTACTCGTGTTGTGGCATACTGGCAAATGTTTACTGGTCAAGTGTTAAATAAATAATTAAATAAGTATATTCATTGGAAAGGTGCGTCGCGTCCACCCGGTACTTGGACCACTACTTGTTTTAGCTTAAGTAGTTTCTTTGGTAAACTTCACCAAAGCGGCCAGCTAGGTAGTCCGTACCGCGCTGATTTTCAACCGCCTAGTGGATTGAATCCAAAGGAAAACTTCAGTAATATTGCGCGACAACATTGCATCACTTGAACCAGGAGTAGGTTGTCGTATGCCCTTTACTATAAAGTGCCCAAGTCCTGCAGCTAAAAGGCACGTACTGCGAAGGCACACATGCACTGTGGGTGAATTTTTGATCACGTCAGCAGGTAACACGAATGTTAGTATCTACTGGTCTGTTAATTTCATGTCAGGTATGCTAGTTTCTGGCATTTCAGTCCATCACCGGTGTCAGTTATAACTTTCATACATACTTCATCACAGTTAATTCGTTGTGAAACAGTCTACCACAATCCGGAAAGTACCCAGAAGACTGCTTCATTCCATTTTAATGAGACTCATTAGTAGTGCGCACTCCCCTGCACAACTCCCCTTGCACAACGTCCTGCATTGTAACGTCCCACTACTCCAAAAACAAGTGGCTTTGTTTGTTGAAACAAACCAATCATCTTGGTCACACAAAAGAGCTTTTCGTAAGAATGAATCGAAAATGCTCTTAAACTGCCTTCTGCAGTGCTCCCTGTCTGACGATCCGGCACAAGACGATAATTAGTAGGCTGAATATTGACTATACTTATGAATTAAGAATACCATTCCATATGGGGCATCTATCTCCTCTAATCGTCTGTGGCCTGGTCCCAACTATTTTGGCTGCATGGACGGTTTCGAAGCTGGTCTCTGTCCACACTGCTGTGTTGGGAGAGAATGACTCCGGAACTTACAATGCAGTCCGTGATCTAGATAGTTGAGGTTTATTTCAACCTAAATCTAGCTACTAGTTGAGACTTCGTATAGGCATCCAGACAGACGGTGGGAACTCCAAGACACAGCCATAAACAGTGTGACTGCATTTTATTGCAGATGGGCTACGGTGCACCGTATTTGTTCGTCTGTATGCGAGAAGTCATGGGTTCTCCTACGCTTTCCATGTGTACTTGATCCCGTCACATGCTCATGACCGTGAAGGGACCAGAGTGCTAATCACGCAATTGTGCATTCTGGCTTTATTTCGGTGTTTCTTAGTGACATTTTGTTGCACATCACTGGATCTATACCATTCGTCTTGTTTTTACAAGCTCTACCACGAGATTCCCTTTACTCGAGTACACTACTCTGCGTCCTACATTTAACTGGATTTGTAAACTCAGGGCAGTGTTTCACCTAAACCCACATGCAGAGGTTGTGCAACTTTAATCGATTGGCTCCAAGTTTGGGCTCAGTCGCTAAACTATTTCCACAGCGTTCGAGCAGGTTCTGACTCTTTCCAGCCCAACACTGCGTCAAGCAGCTACAGACGTCAAAGCGAATCCGCCTTGCGATCAATAGGCCAAGCCAAGTAAATCGATTAACTACACTACCGTGGGACTGCCGCAACCTGCCGACTCGATAGCGAAGGTCTAGCGATTATGACACTATTACCGTATGACCTTGACCTGAACGCACGGACGTGACTAGACGTATTTATGCCCTCAGAGCAGTAATATAACTTGTCTGTTATGTAAGCTACTGTGAACGTGACGAGTAAAAAAGTCAAATCGAAGAGGAAGCGTAGCGAGACAGCCAAGGAGCATTTGCCGCTGCGAGAAAACGGTTCGATCTGGTGGTTTGTGTTCTAGATGTAGCACAGATTATTACGTCAAGTGTGCTTCTTCCAAGACGAGAGCAATGGGGAAGAATAAAACGAGCTCCTTTTGCTTCGGCTCAGATTGTATGGCTGTCTCACTTATTAGGCATATGGCTGTTTTGACACAGAAATGGGATAAGTTAATATTGGTGGTCGAGGAATCTAAGCTTAATAAGTTCTACTTGCCGGATTCAGCCATAGCCGGGCTGGGCACCTAAGGCTCTACATCTGAACACAGTGGCCGAACCAGAAGTACTGGTACAAATGTGAAGCTAGACACCCGAACAACCAATCCGAAACCAGACATGTAACCTAGTTCCACCTACTACGGTGACTTACATCCTAGCCCAGTCGATTTTGCATGAGAACAACCCTGTGGAGCACACTAGGCACACACAAGTGAGCACACCGGCTTGACTACATATACGTCCGTGGTGGCTGCAACTGAAGTCAGCACACTGAGCGCTACAAATGCCACACACGCGCCTAACAGCCCTCCAAAGATTCAACTCCCACTCCCTCACCAAACGTTTACTTCAAGACGAGCCCATGACTCGCTGACAATCGTATGTTTAAGTGTTCCTGAATATAACGCTAACTCCAGTAAAGGCAATGTTGGACTACTGAAAACAGTGAGATTCCATATGTATGCTAATAGGCGTCCAAGCTATACCGGCTAGCATGACACACATTTCACGGCACCAACTACGAGGAACCACGAATTTTATGTGTGATGCCACAATCAACAACCAATATTGAGGCGGTTCTCCCATCAGCCACCCGGCTTCGGACTGACTCATGTGACACGCGGATTTTTCCCGACGTCCCTTGGCGCGATGACCAACAAAAAACCGA